AAGGTCTTCGATAGTCCTCCCATTATGAAAGTAGGGCCCTCACCCTCATAATAAAAGCACTACCAAAAAGCCCCACTCCTTTTATTCTCAGAACAACCTATAGCTCTAATACCACTCTGTCAAGGCCCCAAACCCCGGGCCCATGACTGGCACTAGGGTCCCCGACCCCAGTCAGCCTCACAACAACACACCAAGCTCAAAACTAAGCAAAACATAAATAAACATCTCATGCTAATCAAATACAACACCAGAATCCTGTCTAAGTAGTAAAAGAGCTCTAGAGTACAAACAGGGATAAACAAGAGAACATGCCCATACATCAACCAAAGCTGCAAACAACCGCTCTAGCTCTAGCATGCCACTCAAGAACAGCAACCCGATCTAGAAAGTTTATAAACTATGAGTCGCGAAACTCAATGAGTACAGATGATACCTAATCTATGCATGTTGGGATATGTATCACACCACAAGTCCCAAAATTACACATATACATACATATACACAATGAGCAATACCAACATCAAAACATACATATGTGAGAGTACAATGATCATTGAGACTCCAGCCTCAATCAGAGGAATCCTCCGTCTCACAATCAAGCTCAACACAGTCACATACCACGCTCCGGTCGAAGGGCATCCTCCATCTCATGACTGGAGCCACACACCCACCAAGGCAACCAGACCACGCTCCTCAAAGCAACACGCCCACCAAGGGCACCACTAACACGCTCCCAGTCGAGAGGCATCCTCCATGTCATGACTGGAGCAACACCCACTAAGGGCACCCATACCACGCTCTCAGTTGAGAGGCATCATCCATCTCACAACTGGAGCAAAACGATCTCAGTGCATCATCGACTCCCCCACATATCCAATCAAACAAATATACAAACATATACAGTCCACAAATCTCAAAGCAGTATCGCATACCAACATGTATAAGTCCAACACATATGCACGTACCATATATCAAGACTGGCATAACATATGAACATAGTTCACTGTACAACAATAAAACACATAACACATATCCTGAGGTTTATGTAACAAAATACAATTCGTAAAATCCATGCAATCATCATGCTAGGAAAACAAGTATGAAAACACATGTATAAAGAGGGTATCATCACTCATTGTATAAAAGCCAAGGCAAAAAGGAAGTCCCGATTACCCTTACCTGACTCACTGGTCTAAGTACAGCTCTTTGGTGTATTTGGTTCAAAATCGAAACTGGAGTCCCAAGCTCGATGACCTTAGAGGCAACCTTTAATTGGAAGAAAATCAGCTCAAATGGCTTGAAAACCCAGATTCGCCTCTGGTGGTCTATGACATCTACCGAACGGAACCCAAGCCAAAAATCTCCCTCTGTTGCTCGCGACTCTAGAAATTGAAGGAGGGGTATTGCTCACCTGCGTAAAATGGCTGAATCACGCAAGATTTTTACACAAAAATTGAGGCCCATCATTACTGCGAGGCGATGAATAAATATGGCCCTATTCATCCAAAAACTTCTTTCTTTTTTTTTTTTACCCTCATGACTTTGTTTCTTTTCAATCAAGCCCCTTAGCATTAATGATTAACCCCCAAATTTTTAATTCATGCACTTAAGGCCCCCCCACAATTAACAATTATTTGCAAATTGGGTGTTACATACCCTTCTTTCTCATTGGACGTGTATTCTATGGGGAGAATTTTGTACAAACTTGTATTCAAAATCATGGGTCAAGCTAAACTTGTATAGCGCAACTCTTAATTCTTTGACATTCTAATAGACTTGTCTTTTTCTAATAATAACAGAAACATATTGCATGGAGACAAATGTTGGCATGTATGATGATGGCGGTGTAGGACAAGGATGAAATGAAGACCAAATGTCCAACAGTTGACATGCTTGATTGCATGTTAATCTCTAGCTGCTACTGTAGTTAATCACAATAGGGTAAATCAGGCTAATTGTAATAATATTTACAAAAACATATGTTGGATTATTAATAGGCTAATACAACACTGTAAAATAACATATATAATATTGTAAAATAACATAAGTTTATTGTAAAATAACAATTCTGCGTTTGTAAAATAACATATGTAACTTTCAGAAATTAATGGCCAGAAGATATTGCATAATTAACTGATTCTAAGTTAACAAATATTGAAATAAGATGAACAACATCAAATTAAAAAGCAAAAGATGGATATCCTAGACTCGGTACAATCCAGTCAAATTGATTTGAACCTCTGCATGAAGGATCACAAATAATACATACCATTTCACAATCTTCGTTATTTTTTAAGAGGTCTATCATGCCTTTCTCAAAAAACAAATCAATCAGCTTCACTAGCTTAAATTTGATCGTATATTGTATGGGCAAATTCTCCACATATACTCAAATGCTTCAGTCAACATCTCTTTAAATTGTGAATTCGACGTGTCATAAGGAATATATAAACCAATTGTTCTACCACCCTTATACTTGATGTGTCATTTACAAATACTATCTCACCATTGATATAACAATAGCAGTATAAATTGCCCATACTCTGTAAACAAACAAACGGATGCAAACTGTAAGCATACAAGAATTATTGTATAATAACATATTCATGATTGTAAAAAGATAGACACATGACTGTAAAACAACAGATCAATGATTGCAAAAAAAAAACAAATAATAATAATAGGTGAGGGTAAATTACAGATACACATTGGGCTAAAATAACAAATGGATAATTGTAAATAGATGAGTGTAAATTTACATAAACATGATTAGAAAAAAAAATGCTGAATGCAAAATTATAGATGCATTAGTGTAGACTTTGGACTGAGTAACAGATCTTGTGTAAAAAGACAAACAGAAAACTATAAAATAATAAATATACATGACGCAAAAAGACAGATTGGGTGACAGTAAACTAAAATATGCAAATGTAAAATAACAAATGGTTCACTACAAAATAACAAATCCATGATTGTAAATGGACAAATGGATGAGTGTAAACCAACATGTAGTATATAATCAAAGATGGGTAATTGCAAAATGTCCTCAATTGATTGTAAAATGATAAATGTGTAACTATAAAATAACAAATAAATGATTGTAGAAAAATGAACAGACGATCATTTGTAAACAAATAGATAAATGACTGTACAATAATAGATGTATTATTGTAAAAAGATAGTCTGGTAAGTACAAAATAACAAATGTATGAATGTAAAAAAATAGATAGATAACCGTGAAATAACATATGTATGGTTGTACAAAGATTGATGGGTGACAGTAAAAATATAGATAGTTAACTGCAAAATTACAAATAAATGATTGTAGAGAAATGAACAAACAGTCATTTGTAAACAGACAAATAAGTGACTATACAATAATAGATGCATAATTGTAAAAAAATAATTTATTGAGTACAAAATAATAAATGTATGATTGTAAAAAGAGAGATTGGCAACCATAAAATAATATATGCATGGTTGTACAAAGACTGATGGGTGATTATAAAAATATAAATTATTGACTATAAAAAAACATATACATAATTATAATAAGACACTGCACAAGTGTAAAACAACAGTTATATAATTGTAAGAAGACAAATACATTATTATAATTTCACGGATGTTGATTATAAAATATCAAATAAATTATCATAAGATATCAAATATATCCATGCCTTTCTAACAGATGCTAAGTAATATATATACTTTTATGCAAGTGAACTAGATGCTTTGTGTTGACAACAAAGTGATAATGTGATATAAGAGTAATATGTTGTGTGACAACACCTTTGATGAAATCAAAATGTCAAGCTATCGCCTTTGTCAAAACAATGTGAAAAGCAAAAACTTGGACTGTGAGAGTCGAGCTTCAAGCCGGACCAACATCAATCAAATAAGCTTACACCGAACAAGAAGCGATAAACAATGTAGAAGCAAAAACCAACGTAAAACTTGGAACCAAGCTAGAAGGTAGAAGAATCTAAATGGGAAGAAAGAAGACGAGAGATAACACAAAAGACAATGAAAGAAAAAAACGACAGATGAAAGACAAATGAAGAACGAGGAGAAGACGACAACAAATGGCCAACAAGCTTCGATCAAGCATGAGGGAAGATTGGCGATGACCTCTATTTTTGTTCAAGGTATTTTGGATACTGAACATTATCTTAAATAAGTAGTTTTTCTTATTTATACCTTTAATAAAATAATTTTTCCTTTGGGTGCCTTTTCTAGATTTTTTTTTTTTTTTTTGAATTGAGACCTTAAAGTAATTTTAATTTTTTTTAATTCCCTTTTTAGTAATTTTTCCATGAATTTATTTTTCAATTATATAAATTAAAAAAATTAAATATCCAACTTTTATAAAAAAAAAACCTATCAAAATTTTTTGTGAAAGTGATAAATCTAATTATTTTTCATAAATCACAAACTATTATTTGAAACTAAACTAAATCAAATTAAATTGTGATTTAATTTTATTTTTTTTTTAAATCAGAATAGTAAAGTACAATTTAATTGTACATGTCCCTCGCACCACACCACCCAAAAAGTATATTAATAATCTATAAAAAAATTGCATTTATTGATTTGTATCATATATTTGTGAGCTTCGTTATATTTATTAATCAATAACAAAGTTCTTCACACATTACACTACTGGTATATTTTCATTACACCAAAAATACACTACAAATATTGAAGTATTTTAAAATTTAAGAAATCAGCGTTATCTATTCAACCCTCCTCTAGCTAACACTTGATTAACAATATTCCAAATCAATTCTAAGTACAAATTCTATGCATGCAAGGTACGGGCCTTTCTTGTTTCCCTGCCCAAAGCCTCTGTACATGCTCGAAAGTTTGATCTGTCAATAGCACAGGCCTCTCTTTAATTGGTAGAAAAACCAGGCAACCGTAAAAAATGTTCACCTTTCCACATATTAATGTCATTTGCCACGTCCATCTTTGATCATTATCATCGCAAGTGCCACCAGTTAGTTCCGCAAGGGTGCAACATGGTCAGGCTGTAGCAGGGCCACCTCTCCAGCTGCAGCAACTGCGCGCCTGCGTTGCCTCTCTCTAAGGTAAAGGACTGTTAGTAGGCAGATAAATAGAGTTAAATTGCTGCATTTCCCTCCTCCATTATAACATTTTCTACCCATGCATCCACTTTTGGATACACTCCTGGAAGTGAATCAATCAGATCAACCTAGAAAAGCATCCACAAGCCCAAATTAATATACTGTCCAAGAACAGAAATGAGCACCTAAAATGTAAACAAATAAATAAAATGATGACCACAATTTTAACCACATGATAGAAAAGATAATTGATATAATTCATATATTTCCAATTATGTAACAGGGAAGCCAAAAAATTACTATTAAAAAATTCAGCAGTCCAACAAATTTTGGGCTTAATTGAAACATGCTTTTCTTATATGCTTTTAAAAGATTCCTTGATATAATTAAAAAAGAATGAATAAGCTTTCAGTGTAGTGGTAAGCAATAGATCTATACAATGCTAATCTCATAAGATCAATCTGAATAAAAAATCAAAGGATGCCTGCTAAAGTTAGGATTATCACTCTGAGAAAGCATATGTCGCAAATACAGAGAACCAAACTAAGACTATGAGATGTATATCTGACATAAGTCATGAGAACAGACTAGCATATCTCACGATTCACACAAATGTCTGATTTTCATACTAACAAAAATGGTGTACTCCAAAGAAGTTCCCTGCTCATGACTGATGTCAGTGGTAAAAGAATTCTCAACAAGGTTTCCTTTTGAACCGGTGGAACCTTAGAGGCTCATGCTCAGATTCAGTAGATTGAATATTTAGAGGAGATAATAATATTGCCTATAGATTGTTAAACTAATTTTCTTTTGAAAAATGTATCAATAGTATATGGTTTTCTTTTGGTAACTACAGTGATTTTACCTAAACTTCACCCACAAAACTAGAAAAGGAAAAAAAAGAATTTACAAATTTTAAGAATAATACTTTATTCCTTTATTTTTTTGCTTAAAATAATCAATACAAACTATATTCATTTGCCTTAACAAAATATAACACAATTATCAAATCATACAACTCAAACAATACCTTTTTTTACATATATAATTTCTAATGCACAAGTATTATCAACCCATAAAACATAAACGGATTCATTTCACCAATAAAATCAAATAAATATTAAAAAAACATGTAGACTAATATACATCTTAAACAACTCCAGAAACCATATTAAAAAACATACCAAAGATAGAGTTTGATAATTTGTGCACTGCTCTGTGTACAAAGCTAACAGTTGGATTTTCAGCCATCCAAGAAAGATCCCATTAATTTAGAACCATTAACACTAGTATGGGAGTTTGGGGAGACCACCCACAAAATAGTTTTGACTGAATACGTCCACTTGCTATTGTTGTTCGGTGCACTGTTGGGAGCATGTAATTGAAGTACTGAATAAAGGAGATAGAATTTTGTTGGACATTAGTTCAAAACTTGCCTTCTATTTGATGCTCTTTTGAATTATTTGTCCTTTTAATCTTCAAAGAAAAGAGAGACCCACTTTTAAAAAGTTAAAAAGAAATACTCTTTATCCAAACTTTGTAGAGACTCTTCCTACCAATAAGAAGGAAATTATTACTTTCGGGGAGGCTAAGCAAACAAGAGAGTAAATTTTTACTTAATCAGTAAGGGATGTGACCAGGCACACCCCTCCATCTCCACTTCAGTCTGTCCATCTGTCCATGGTTATATTGCATATATTGCAGTATAAAATTATGAAATGTGATAAAGAGCTACCAGCAAATAAGCGCACTAGGAAATACCAACACATTTTCAAAAAATAATAATAATAATAATACCATATATTAAGCACAAAGGCATTATTATGTGGAACCTACCAGTCTCCAGTACTCCATCGACACACAAGGACAAAATATCAGACGTGCAACCAGGCGCCTAATTTTTCATTTCTTTTGTTAGTTTGAACAGAAGTGTTTTCAGTATAAACACGTCATTTAAAGCAAACAAGGCTACCTAATACCAAATCTTTACCAGAATAATGTGAAACAAAATATCTTATATATTTAGGCAAACTGAGGAATGAAATTAGTTGTTTTAAATTCATAATTGGTCAGTGATTCATGGTGGTTAATGTCTCATTATACACAGATTAGTCTCGTTTTCTCATATTAATGCTATATTTATCATGCTATGTTGTTTAGAAATGCGATAGTTATAAACATATAAATATATAAAATTAAATTATATCTCGACCATGACATTGTCCTAATTTTTCCAGAGTAGTTTTTGTTGGTCTGTTCTGTTAATATCTGTGTCTGTATCATGTCCTTGTCCACAGCTTCTAAAGAGGCTGCGGATACCAATTCCAAGTCGTTGAACATGGCTAAGCTGAGTTAGGTAATATATCATCACAACTTCATCACACCTTTGAAAGTGCCCAGGTAAATTCTTCCTTCCCACAACACATTCTGTCAACCTTTACAAAGTATCTAGTTTTGTCTTTAACCCTCTGAAAATCTCTGGATATGCAATAAAATGAACTCCTGTTATCTGCATATTTTAAATATTTGTACAACAAGAAATACTTCTCTCTCTCCAAATTGAGTCCATCTATTATATAATTCTTGTCATTCTACACATTACTGCTCCTCAAACCCGTTAATGGGATGGAAGGTGGGGGGTAACTAAATGGCAAGCGCCAATGTTTAATTGAGGAAGCCGTGAGTGTTGATTCCTTTTGCTGGGACACTTTTAGGTCCAATAAAGATAAATTTTCTCTCCTGTTTTTCACATTCCTATATTAATATCTTCTTTGTGAATTATATTGTTAATTATGGAATAATTCTATTTTAGATAAATTAGATCAATTATGATCAAATTAGGAGATTCATAGAAATTTCTTCTTCGATATTCTTTCCTTATTAGTGTAGGACATTTGTATATAAATTTGTGTATCATATATTGTTATAGACATGAGAGTGAAATAAGAATTTTTCCTTTTTGCATGGTATCAGAGCCTAAAAGTTTTGAAACCCTAGGCTCCAAATTTTTTCGCCCAGAGTTTCTGTCATAACTCACGGCTGTCACCTTAGAACTGTCCCTCTGAGTTGTTTTTTTCTTCATCACGCATGCCATCATTGTGCTCATCAACTGCTGATCTACATCAAAACCACGCCGCCACAGGAGCATCCACACAGCGCCGCATCAATTTCTTTTCCTGCAGGTGCCACCTTGTTGTTGGTTGTCTCTTCCCTTGCCAACGTCGCCTCCTCATTCCAAGTCTACCCAAAGTGTTGCCAAGCAGATCCAGCCAAAACTCGTCATCATCAAGCTGTATTTGCTCCAGAACTGTCAGGGTTCTTCTCCTCCGCCAAGATCATCAGTCCTTCTCCTTCGTCGGGGTCATCTCCATCTTTCTGACCTGCACCCATGGCTGTCGGCACACTCCATCTTCCCCTCCAGATCCGAACAAACCCGAGCAGATCCGAACAAGACCCAGCTTCAGTCTCCGTTAGAGATTGCTAAGCCTAACGCAGGAGTGCCCTTCCTCTACAAACCTCTGCTACAATAGAAGCTGTCCACACTACACAGGAAAGACTTTCAGATTGAACCGGCCGAGTGTAAGCTGACTCATTTTTTGAACCATTTTTGAAATAATTTGAACATGGCTACTAGTTCTACGGTTACCTCTGATCCCTCTAAGGATGTCTTGAAGGCTGAGCCTCCTATTTTCACCAATTATATTAGTACTCCTCTTTCTACTAAAAAGTTAGATGGAAGCAATTACGATACTTGGGCCTCTGACATTAAGTTATGGCTTACTGGACAAGTTCATGAAGATCACCTTACCAAAAAGGTTGAATCTGTACCTACTAAGGAACAAATCAAATGGAAGAAAATTGATGCCCAACTATGCAGTATTATAAAATCCACTATTCATTCTTCCTTGAAGCAGATATTTTAGGCTCATCCCACTTGCAAATCCGTTTGGACACAAGCCAAGTTCTTTATACTAAGATACTTAGCGACTTTACAAGGTTTGTCATGATCTTATAAGCATTATTGCACCACAGAAGTTTGAGGGTCCTATGTCCGATTACTTAGGCAAGGTTCATGGGGCTTTACACGATTTCAATGAACTACTACCTCCCACAGAGACTCCTGCACAAGAACTAGAGCAACAAAGTACGTTCTTTACGCTATTGGCACTGTATGGTTTGCCTCCAGAGTACTCTACTAATCGCGATCAGATTTGGGTTTCCCCATTGTCCCAACTTTATCCACAGCTTGGTCCACTTTGCTTCGGGTTCCAGCTAAGCAGTCATTAGATTCAGTTACTCTTAATCCTAGCGAAACCACACTCTTGTTTCTCAGAACAGTACTCGTGGTCGCTCTCGAGGAAATAACTCTGGTAAAACCCGTCCTAAGTGTGATCATTGTCATCGCTTGGGACATACTATTAACAAGTGCTAGACTCTACATGGTCAACCCCCATGGACTGCTAACGTGGCATAGACTGTTCCTTCAGATACACTCGAACTCTCAGATCAGCCTTGACCATCTCCAGCCGACTATGAAACTTTTCTAAAATGGTTTGAGCAACGACAGACATCTAACTCCACTGCTTCTGCTATGCACACTAGTAAGTCTATTAGTTGTCTCTCTCAGTCACCATCCCTTGGCCCTTGAGTTCTCGATTCGAGAGCATCAGATCATATTTCTGGTAATAGATCCCTTTTCTCCAACTTTTCTCAGTCTAGTTATTTACCCATTGTTACATTAGCCAATGGTTCTCAAACAAAATCCCATGGAATTGGCACTGCCCATCCCCATCCATCTCTGAAGTTGATTTTGTGCTATATGTTCCTGAGTGTCCCTTTAATTTACTCTCTATTAGTCGTTTGACTCGTTCTCTTGACTGTGTTATTACATTTACTAAAGACTCAATATTTTTGTAGGACCAGAATTCAGGACGGATGATTGGTACCAAATGTGAGTCCTATGGCCTCTACTAGCTCTCCAACCATTCTCAAGTCTATTCTGCCACAACTTCCCCTTCACCATCCAATGCTCAGTTGGGTCATCCTAGCCTTGTTAGATTATAGAAAATGGTGCCAAGTCTTTCCAAATTGACTGATTTACCTTGTGAATCATGTCAATTAGGAAAACACATCCATACCTCATTTCCAAATAGAGTTTGTAATGGAGTCGTGTCTCTATTTGCCTTAGTTCACTCTGATGTTTCCGGCCCTAGTCAAGTTGTGTCTACTTTAGGACCAAATATTTTCGTACTTTTATCAATGATTATTCACATTGTACTTGGATATTTTTAATGCAAAATCGATCTAGATTCTTCTTTATTTTAAAAAATTTCTATCAGGAAATTAAAACTCAATTTGGTGTTTCCATTCGTACTTTGCATAGTGATAATGCTTGTGAATATTTATCTCAACCCTTTCAACAGTTTGTCTTCTCATGGCATTCTCCATCAAACTTCTTGTGCACATACTCCTCAACAAAACAGAGTTGCTGAACGCAAAAATAGACACCTTGTAGAAACTACTCGGACTCTTCTCCTTCATGGGCATGTTCCAGTTTGTTGTTAGGGTGATGCAGTTCTCACTACTTGCTATTTAATTAATCGTATGCCCTCATCTGTACTTAATAACTAGATACCTCACTCTATGTTATTTCCTCATCAAACTCTGCATTCCCTTCCTCCTCGTGTCTTTCAGTTGACTTGCCTTGTTCACAATCTCAACCCTAGTCTTGATAAACTTTCAGCCTAATCCATCAAATGTGTCTTCCTTGGTTACTCTTGGTCTTAGAAGGGATATCGTTGCTTCTCACCTACTCTTCGACGTTACCTTGTCTCATCGGATGTAACATTTTTTGAATCTATTTCTTTCTTTGAGTCATCTCCCTCGACCCTTGAGCCTATATATTAGGTTTTACCTATTTTCCCTCTTCTTTTTCCAGCCACGCCAAAATCTCTCCCCCTCCTCGTATTGACCCTCCTACACCTCCTCCTTGCCCACTCCAAGTCTATCATCGCCGTACAACTCCTACACCTTCTCCTCCTGTTGCTAAGATCATTGCAAACTCTCATCTGGAATCGACTCCATTACCAACTCCGGACCTATCTCCTAAGCCTAATCTTCTCATTGCTCTCAAGAAAGGTATACCATCTACTCGTAACCCCTCTCCTCATTATGTTACATTGAGTTATCACCGTTTGTCTTCTTTGCATTATGCTTGTCTCTCATCCCTTTCTTCTGTGTCTATCCCTAAATCTTCAGGTGAAGCTTTTTCTTATCCTGGGTGGCGACAAGCTATACTAGATGAAATGTGTGCACTTTAAAGCAGTGGTACTTGGGATCTCATTCCTCTACCTCCACACAAGTCGGTTGTGGGCTATTGATGGATTTATACTGTTAAAGTTGGTCCGGATGACAAAATTGATCAACTCAAGGCTTGTCTAGTCGCCAAATGGTACACTCAAATCTTTGGCTTGGACTATGGTGATACTTTTTCTCCTATAGCCAATATAGCCTATGTTCGGCCCTTTCTGTCTATGGCTACTATCCGCCATTAGCCTTTTTATCAGCTAGATATCAAGAATGCCTTCCTCCATGGTGATCTAGCCGAAGAAGTCTATATGGAGCAACCACTTGGGTTTGTTGTTGCTCAGGGGGAGTTTGCTGGCATGGTTTGTCATCTTCATAAGTCGTTATATGGCCATAAACAATCTCTTTAGGCTTGGTTTGGTAGATTCAGCATTGTTGTCCAACAATTTGGTATAATTCAAAATAAACCTGATCACTCTGTGTTCTATCGCCACTCAGCACAATGAGGTATTTACTTAATTGTATATGTGGATGATATTGTTATCATTGGCAATGATCACCATGGCATAATCCAAATAAAACAGCATCTCTGTCATCATTTCCAAACCAAAGACCTTGGTAAACTCCGTTTCTATCAAATCCAAGAAGATACAGGAGATTAGTCGGAAAATTAAACTACCTCACAATAACACGACCAAATATCTCTTTTGCAGTAAGTGTGGTCAATCAATTTTTAAATACACCATGTGAGGATCATTGGAAAGTGGTAATTCGTATTCTAAAGTATATTAAAATAGCTCTTGGTAAAGGCCTCGTTTATAAAGACAAAGGTCACACTCAGATTGTTGGATATTCAAATGCTGATTGAGCAAATTCTCCCATCGATAAAAGATCCACTTCTGGGTATTATATATTCATTGGAGGTAATTTGATATCATGGAAAAGCAAGAAACAAAATGTAGTTGCAAGATCAAGTGCCGAAACAGAATATCGAGCCATGGCCTTAGCCACTTGTGAACTCATCTAGTTGAAACAACTTTTTCAAGAACTTCAATTTGGAGAGCCTATGCAAATAATACTCGTTTGTGATAATTAAGTAGCATTGCATATTGCTTCTAATCCGATGTTCCATGAGAGGACCAAACACATCGAGATAAATTGTCACTTCATCAGAGAGAAGATTCAATCAGGGGACATTACTACTCGATTTGTTAACTCAAATGATCAACTGGCAAATATTCTCACCAAATCCCTAAGAGGTCCTAGAATAAGTTATTTATGTAACAAACTTAGTGCATACGATCTATATGCTCTAGATTGAGGGAGAGTGTTAATTATGGAATGATTCTATTTTAGATAGATTAGATCAATTAAGATCAAATTAGGAGATTCTAATGTGAACCATGGAGCACAAGGTGAATCATCCAATGTTATTATTGGACCAATCACTCGTTCAAGAGCAACACAACTCCAAGAATCTCAAACCTTGCTGGTTTGCATTGAATAAATTGAGTTAGAAACAACAAGAGAAGAATATGAGCCACCTAGTTTAAACACTACAAAGGAGGTGTAATTAATATTATGCAATAATTACAACAATTAATGTTCTTATTGACTAGTTAATGCAACAATTAATGTATTGTATGCTCTTGTTGACAAGTTGGTGGTGTAATTAATACTATGCATTAATTACAGCAATTAATGCCCTTGTTGACTAGTTGATGCTACAATTAACGTATTGCATACTCTTGTTGACAAGTTGGTCCAACATTAATTACAACAATTAAAACTCTTGTCCACTAGCTAGCAATTAATGCTCTATCAACTACTCCTTGTTATTTGCAAAATTGTAATAAATGCTTTGTTATACTTAGTTGTCTTTTGCCCATGTTTAGACTGTAGTTTTTCTCTACATATACCCCTCTTGAGAACTGAATGTACTCAAATTTGGTTGATGAATAAAAGTTGCAATTTACACTTTATTTCTCTCTCTCTCATCTAAACAAGCCCTTTGTTTAGTGGTGAAAACCCAGAATCTTATCACTCATCCTTGAATGTGGCGATTCAAACCTCCAAATTTTACGTGTAGTGAGTAATCTTATCAAGTAAAAACTGGTTGTACACTTTCCACCATTTCTATTCTACTCCATTTCTATTTTGAAGCAATACCCAAATTTGATTTCGTATCAAATTCATAGAGATTTCTTCTTTGATATTCTTTCCTTATTAGTATAGGACCTTTGTATATAAATTTGCGTATCATGTATTGTTATATACATGAGAGAAATAAGAATTTTTCCTTTCTACATATATCATTCTACTGAATATTTACATCAATATCATTATATATCCACAAAGAAAATTTATCAGCAAAGTATAATTTCTTCAGATTTGGCAAGCCAAATGGCCAATACACTTACTCCAACAACTTACTATATCTGAATCTAACTTCTGCAGAACACTTGAAGAAGATAAGCAGCTATTAGTAGACAAAGAAACTCACCAGGAAACTATTTGCATAGTTTTTTCGTATCCACACGCTAGTAAGGGCAAGTGTTACAGGTAATTTAGCAGCAGGATCCACCTCTAATGCCTGATCATAGTATCGCTTGGCAAGATGAAGGTCAAATGGAAGTCCTTGACCATGTTCATGCATGTACCCAGGTTGAACATGGCTTGTGCATTAGACTGGGATTTAGCATGCATGTAAGCTTCTGCAGCACGATCATAGTCTATCTCAGTACCCTGAAGATGAAGCATGAATAAAAGAATGAGAACTATATGAACTTTTATGTGAAACAAAATGAATACAATCTTAACGCCAATATAAAAGGGAATCAGCTCATCAACTTGAATATTTTATTTAGAGCCACATACCCGGCCATAATAATATGCATCCCCAATTAGCAAAGCAGCATGTTCATTACCCTGCTCAGAAGCTTGCCACCACAAAGAATGTGCCCGCTGATGCCTTTCTGCATCAGTGCAGAAGCCTGATTCTCCCATGCACATACTACGTTCCCGATATTTATCAAGAATCCATGCAGCATTACTTTGTGCGACCTCATAGCCTAATTCAGCCATCCTTGAGTATAAGAAGGATGCCTTGCCCACATTACCTTTCAAGTATGACTCTAATGCCCATCGAGATAATGAGCTCCATGGTCCCCGTTCAGCAACTAATTTGTACAACACAGTTGCCTGAAATCAAGGACTCACAATAAACAAATCCATAGATATGCAACATTCTTAATACCATTCATAATCAATTCAAAATGAACAAGAAAGAGTTATAAAAGGAAAAAAAAAAAAAAATTGCTACAGGAGAAAAATAAAGCATTATGATTCAAAGAAAGTCAAATCAGATCCATTTTCTCGACACATAACGTCATATTGATAACTTTCCCTAAGCAAATATGCGTTCCTATTTTCTCTACTTCTTTATGTACTTTCACATGCTATTAGCATCAAAATAAAAGCTTATTTGTGGCCTAGTCACACTTAGCCCACTTCTACGGATTTGTCGGAAAACCAACATTAAGAAAGAAAGAAAGGAAGAGAAAAGAATATTAAAAAAAAATTAAGAAGGACAAAGAATTAGTCAGATAGAAGGCAAAAGGAACTAAGTTGTCAAAGTCTTTTCAGTTGTCCAATGAACAAGATCAAGTGAGGAAATTTATCTTCCGTTCACAATTTAGCATAGATGTCCATGAAGAAAATCAAACAAAGACTATAATAAATATGATCAGCTAGACCATTTGGAGAATGTAATACATAAGGCAGAATGATATTAACCATGCCCCTTTATACAATAATTAGCATTTGGACAGTATTTTAATTGCTTTAATTTCTTTGCATTCACTTGAGCATAAAAAAAAAATTTCATTGCATGGACACACTATTGGGCATATGACTTCATAGATATATATCACAGAAAAATATGCACCCTTTATCATTAGCATTTCTCTAGCCCCCCAGTCTTCATGTGCCAAAGAGAATACAAGATAAAATAAGTAGTCCTTCAATTGAAACTACGTATTAGGGTCGACATTTGATTCCAGAATGGTTGCAGAAATGCAATAGTGGCCCTCAAACACATTACTGATGTTCAATTTGGCCCTCATACTAAAAATTCTTTAAAATAATAATTACAAAAATAACAGAGAAGTCCAGTCCTTACTGGCATGAGCATTCCATTAATGGCTAGTAAGGCTGATGTTATAGCTAACCTATTAACAAAAAAAATGTTCTATCAAGTCCCTTAACTAAATAACTTTTATCAATTATATCCAATTAGCCCTTTTCCAAATCAACGTAGCCACCAAAACGACCAAGATGTCCAGCAAGTTAAAACCACTAGTGACACAACCTCCATGTTGTGGTCGGTTGTCACCAAAGTCAAATCACATCAGGTCACTGTTTCTGATTAAGAATGGAGGAAGGGATTGGGTTTGGGAGGAAGGAAGGAGAGTGGCTTTTGATGAGGGAGGAGATTAGGTTTCTTATAAAAGTGAGAAGGAGAAGGAATTGGAGTAAAGAGTTTTGGTAATGAAGAAGAAGCTTAGGGCAAGATATCATCAAGAAGGAAGAGGTGAAGACAGATTTTTTTAAAGAGGAAGAGAGACTGAGTTCAGTGAAAAGAATTATATAGTCAAGGGCTTAATTGAACATTTATTGTTGAGGGGCCAAAATTGAACACTAACCCTTGAGTTCAGAGGTGATAATTACCATGCCTTTGACAGAGTCTCAGTACCATTAAGAATTGGACTTCATTGAATTTTTGTTACTGGTTGAAGGGCTTAATTGAACATTTTTTAGATTAATGGAAGAAACTGAACATCATGCCGAGTTCAAGAACAATCAATGCATTTCAACCATTCCAAAATACTACTCGGCAATTTTTTTTTTTTTTTTTTTTTTGGAATGTAGCAAAGATTTACAATTTTGTAAACAAACTATTTGAAAAGGGTAAATCAGTCATTTAAGTGCACACGTGCGCGCACACACCCACCCACCCACACACACACACCACACACACACAATCAGAATGCAACACAAATTCTAAGCAAAGCAATGATATAATAGTGGGAAAACCTGGTAACTACAGACCAAAGTTGTCCACCTCATCAATAGGTAAAAGCATCACAAGTAAACAACCCCAAACATGGTCTCATAAACTACCACCCCCCCACCCCCCACAAAAAAAAAAAAAAAAAGAAAGAAAAGAGAACAGAGTCCTGGTTTACCATAAAAAGGTTCTTCTTGAGTCCAACACCTGTATGAAACATCTTGCCGAGCTGATAAAATGCCTTAGGTTGACCTGCATTAAAAGCCTCTATAAAATATTTGCGTGCTAACTGTACATCCCTCTTCACCCCAATGCCTTTGAGATACATGACTCCCAAATTATAATGTCCACCAGCTTCGTCATTCTCAGCAGCTTTCTCAAAGTATTCCTTTGCCTGTATTAAAAAATAATTATCAAATTACACATGCTAGGGTAAAAAATCAGCAGATTACAGGGATAGCAAGTGCACAGGCTAAAGAAAAATTTAATGCCTCACACAGAAAATCTTCCTTCTGGTTAAGGCAATGATGTAGAACAGCGTGAAAGATAGGAGAGAGGAAAAGAAGTTGGGAAGGAAGAAATGGCTACCCTCTCTAGGGATCATCTATGTCCACTAGCAAACACAAATCTTATAAACACATTCAACTTTGATTAAGCCTCAAAGTAAATTGTAAATATATAGTTGAGCAATCTTGATCCTACTAGAACTCTCATCCCCATCTCAAATCCTAAGGATAAATCATAAATGTCAAATAAACCTTATAAAATAAATACTAAGAACTCTTATCTCATCTAAAATCCTAAGATAAATCATAATTATCAAATAAACATTATAGAATAAATCCTAAGATCTTCTGTCAAACAGACAAAATTTTCTAAGCAAAACAAAATTCCAGGACAGAAAATCCCAAAAACAATAAATTAAACTCTTGAAGTTTAGTCTTTCTGTAATCTGCATCAATAAAAATAATGAATTTAAAAGCAATTTCTTCAAAAACAAGCTCTTCACAGGCTAAACTTAATGCAACTGTGATCATTAATAAATAAAGTTAAGATGAAAGCAGCATTTTGTAACCACTACAATGCTTGTACAAGCCAATGCAAGTGCTGACAGGCAGTAAACCAATATCTAGGCCAAGACACACTTGAATGTGCGGTAGATATTGAAGAACTATAGGGAATGTTTAGAAATATATATTTTCATAGTTCTAAAGACATTCTCATCATTAAATCAATTATTTCTAGAAATATAGAATGTAAAATAGCAACTTCAAAATAGTAGAAAATTTACTTCATACATGAAATAATGTAAAAATTAAACACAAATCACTACAAAGGATTTTATATCCAGAAACTATATGATTATGTTAACAAATTGCAGATTCAATTCAAAATACAACAACCATGATTCATCCTTGTATTAATTTACCCCCAGTCCATTAAATAAAATCTTGCCTGAGGATTTGGGAGTGTTTGGCATCACTATAAGCTCACAGCTTTTGGCCTTTAAAATCCCCTTACCCCAACTAAAATCCCTCATACCAAACATCCCAATCCTTTTCAATCCCTCAGCTTTAAGACTCCATCATGCCAAACAGCCCCTTAACCATCACGCATTCAAAGTAAGAACTAGGGAATACCAACAAATTCCAGGTTTCCAATTACTTCAACACAGCTCAAAATAAATTCAGCACAAAATAATGCATATTATTTGATAGACATGAAGATGAAGTTATCTGAAACTTCAAAGACGACATACTTAGGAATTCTAAGTAAGGTTTCTTGGTGGCATCCGTCAAATGTACAAAGTACTTTAACCTCCAAAAGAACGAAGAAGACAGGCACAAATGAAAAGTCTGAGAGGCATGCATCTAATTACCTATTTAGTTCAGGTAATTGCATCCTTTAATCTCCAAAAGCAGAAAAGCCAAAATATGAAATAGATACCTCTAAACATGATGTCAATAAAACTATTGGAAATAGGACCAGGTTTGCAAAATTTAAATTCCATAGATGACAATCTTTTTAATTGCCAACTTCATTTTGTTGTCAATTAAAACAAGCTAAACAGCTAAAACGTCACATTACTGATGTACAGAATATTAAGCAACACCCCATTTTTAAGGTGTGGGAGGTGGCAGATGAAGGCATGCAAGGTACATGTCTAGAAGGCAATCATAAAAATAGTATATATAGTAAGCAATCCACAATGTTGAGCTTTATGATGCTTTAACCGAATTCACTTCGAAGAAAGAATTTACAAACTGAGTCATATTGTTCATACCATAACTAGATACACAAGCTATCCAGGTATATTCTTTTATTAAGAGCAAGTGACATAGTTGATCACTATCTCTTTCGTTTTTTTCCTTTGAATAAATGCCGTGTGCTCTTTAATCACTCCAGTACAAATTCATGTTTGTTTTGGTTCCTTGTTGTCTTCTTCCCAGATGTTGCTGAACTTTAAAACAGCAATTTTTTTAAGTATATAAGAAGCCTTCATGAGTCATCATTCTTTCAACTTCTAAATACTTCCTATTGATTAGAAAGGATGCAGAGCATAAAGAAGCCTTCATGAGTCATCATTCTTTCAACTTCTAAATACTTCCCATTGATTAGAAAGGATGCAGAGCATAAAACCTTGTTAGGGTTCCACACACAAAAAAAAGAGGAAAAAAAATAAATCAAAGGCTTAAATTTTAACCTATTATTTGTCATTGAAGATCTCTTAATGAAGAAAACAGAAGCAGCTTACAACCTCTTGATATTATTTAATGTTACAGTCCCAATAACAGATCACTAATAATATCCTCCTATAATGTAGACTAAGAAAGGCAAATGTAATAGCAACTAGACAAGTAAACTTAACAGAACCAGGAAAGTACAAGGGACTGTTTGGTTCCATAAAACAGCCAATAGACAAAAGCCCAAAATCTCATTCTACCTGACTTTTGAAAAGGTCCAGCAAAAAGGTTATCCTTTTCCATAACCAAATACCCCTGAGAACCTACTACATAGAATCTAAAAGAAGCATCATAACTGCAACAAGCAAACAACCATGCAGAAAGAAGAAAAGTTATCTTACTTTGGTGTAGTTCTTCTTTTCGACTCCATAGCCTTTAACATACAAATAACCTATCCCATTATAGGCTGAATAAAGATGATGCTTGGATGCACGTGAAAGCCACTCAAATGCCTTGGTGTAGTTTCTCTCAACTCCAGCCCCTCTGGCATATATCTCCCAAGCAGTTCCATTGATTTTGGTTCACCCATGTCCACGGCTTTCAAAAACCAAGACAATGCCTTGCCATGATCACGCCTCACACCTCTCAACCCAAAGTAATAAAAGACTCCAATTCTGTACATGGCTCCAGAATTTCCTTTCTGTGCCTGGTATTCCAAGATCTGGAAATCCTCATCCTCCTCCCCTCGTGACTTTCTTAGAATATCTTCGTTCTCCTCTGCTCCACTATGAATCCTAACTGGTTCAAGCACTGGAGAATCCTTTGAAATCAGGAAACTATTCACTGCTATCTCAGCTAATTCAGCATAAAGCTTCACTGCCTTATCATACATCTGCAAGCAATTAAAGCAAACAGCATTTACCAAAACAGGAAAATGGAAAGACATACATTACAAAACAAGAATAACATGCTTAGCAATTCAATCATCAGACATTGATTATGACTGTATAATAGTTAGGTCCAAGACCTAAGAATTGAGATTTCATGTATTGTAAATACAAATCTGTTTTCAACAATAAAACAAAATAAGGCAACATCATAACAAAATAATTTGTCTAAAATACAAGTATAAAGAGAGGAAGCCTACAGAATTTCAACTGTTGAATTTCATTAGCCATAATACCAAAACATAATTCAAAGACTCTCCTAACTCTCACAAAGGGACATCCCTGTGGTTGGTACACCTTTATAACAACTAAAGCTTATTCAACAGTTATTTTTAGTTGCAAATATTTTCCATATCAAAATAACATGCTTGCATCAGCGCATGTCTTTTATTGATAAGGATATGCTTGTTACCATCCAACCAAAAAAAAAAAAAAGGAGCAGAAAGTGACAAAAACTATATCTATCATGCCCATTCCTGTGGCTGTTATATGCTAAGTTATATATTGCACCAGTAACTAGAGAGGCCTTGTAGATCTAGGGTTTCATAAAACAAAGGACTTATATTTACAGGCACTAGCATCAACATACATCACGAAATTTATACAGCAGAACAAATTTTAAAACTATGTTACAAGGAATGTGGACCAATCCAATACACAAACAGGAATTGGAACAAGATGCACTATATGCTTAAGAACTGGTACAAGAGGGGCAGACTTCTCTAGAATCTATTAGAATTTATATGTTAAAGCAATTTTATTTTAGTAGTACATAGAAAAATATACTTTTTCTTCAAAGTAAACATAAAACCAAATTTCCAATAGTAAAGGGGCCCAACCATTGTTACTTTGCACCCAAACTTTCAATCTCTAAGATTTCAGATCATTCTATTTTGACGTTCTTTCTCCTCCTAAGGCAAAATTTTAAGGAAATAGAAGGAAAAAATTTTGGGATCAATCAATACGCCGATTTGGAACCAACATGTACTGTGTTTCCGATTGTGGTTCAACAGATAATTAGCTAGAGTGATTAGTAATTTCTGGTAACAAAGTTTCCGAATAAAGCAATTTCAAGCAAGGTCAATATAGAAGCTTTTCAAGGTCACAGAAACTACAATGCTATTCGACAATTTCAGCTATGGTGGCTTACACCAGACAACGGAAAATTTTCAAGTAATTACTAAGCTTAGGACTTCGCATGCATCAAAGTGACGTACGAAAGCCTTCCTCGGCAACTTCTAGTACTAAACATTGCAACTCATACGTGGAGCAGCAAAGAAATTCGACGAAGTATGAGAGAAAACTCGTGAACTCACCTCTTGGCGAAAATACGCGTAAGCCAAAGCCATCTTCGACTGCATATTACCCCCATCAGCCGCAAAGCAATGGTACATAAAGGCCTTGGCTCTGTTTCGTTCCCTAGTGATCCCTAAATTGTAGAGAAACCCTAGCGCCGATTGCGCATGGGGGTACCCAGCTGCCGCGGCAGCCTCGATCTGGGAAGCGGCGTCATCCATAAGCCTGGGGTCACCGGAACTGACGGCCTCCACCATTTTCGTCACGCCAGAATAGTACTGCGCCTCGACCTCAGTGGCCGGGTCCCCAGTGGCCGAATCCGACTCGAGTACGGGGCGCCAAGAGCCCGGGTCGAGCTCCTCGTCGGTTTTGGCGTCGGAATCGCCAAACTCGTCCCAGTCGGAGCCGCTGGAAACAGACGAGGAGGAATCATCGTCACCGGCGGCGGAAAGGGGGGTGTCGTTGAGGTCGTCTTGGGAAAGAAAAAGGACAAATTGACGGGCGGTGGATGAGACAAAGAGAAGGGAGAACAGCAAGAGAACTGAAAACAACAGGGCGGTGCAACGCCGCATCTCCTCTAACGGTGGTTCCGAGCTCCGGTTCTGCTTTTGGTTAGGCCTGGAGTTGGACTCTGGATCAATAAGAGCACCGGCCCTCGCTCATGTCGTGTTTCACCGGCCACGTCACGCTTGGTTGTCTCATCCATTAGGATATTGCCACGTGTCCATCAATGGCTGCAACTGGTGCTACATGGTGCTTGCGCGGGCAGCGGCAGAGACTGAACCAACACAATCATAAAAATCAATTAAATCCCAATTTGATTTAATTTAACTAAATTTCTTTCGTTTCGCAATTTAATTTAATGTAATTTATAAAAAAACATTTTTACATAATTTAATTTACAATTTAACTATTAAATCAACTATTTAAATCGAAATGCATATTATATATACACAAAATTATATCTTAATTCTAATTAACACTTTGCTGTATTTCCACCCACTTGTCTTCTATTAAAACAGAAGTTCTAGCAGCCTGATTGGTCAGCAATTTCTTATTTTTCTTTGATTTTTTTCTTCGAGTTCTACTTTGCCAATGATTCTTCTTCTTCTTCTTCTTGTTCGATTTTTTTCTTCATTGGTTTTTACTCTACGTCAACCGCTTACCTCTAGGATTGGCAAGTGATTCTTTCTTCAACTTCGATTTTCTTCTTCAATTGCTACTTCACTCACGATTTCTTTTTCTTTTTCTTTTTTGTCTTCGATTAGCCTATGGGAGCCGCTCATCTCTTCTTCCATTATTGCTTGACAATGGATCAAATTATTTTCTTGTTTTAAAAAGTACATGTCTTCAAAGGGGTTCACGTGGACAGAGACTTTATATTACCAACTTAGCAGTATAGTAAAACTGCCATTGTAATCAATGAAGTTATTTCATGTCGGTTGGCATGGCATTGTTAATTTGTGCACTTGCATATAAGAGCTAATCTTTGATGCGAATTTTGGTCAATTTTAAAGCAAGTAACAATAGGGTTCAGCGATATCAATACAGCTTGAACTTGACTTTTAACTAAACTTGTCAATAGAGTGGATTTTAATCCGAATCTAACTCAAATTTAATCCGATTATTTAGAATTTTTAACCGATAAAAGATTCGAATCCGATTATATATATGTGCATACATATAAATTATGTCATACATAGATACTATATTATATATATAATATATATATACACACACAATCATTATTATGTTTATATATAGATGAATTTTAGAACATATAAATAAGATGTACTACAATTTAGTTTATAGAATTAAACAATCTTTTTTAGACAAAATATTTTAAATATAAATAAATATTTATATACTATAATTAATCTTAATATTTTGTTTCCTTACATGATCGAATAACTCATCATTACTTTTAATTATTCAAATTTCCTAATATTAATGTTTTCAAAGCATACTAATTACTTGCTTCATTTATCATATATTTCCCTTTTTTTGTTATTAATTTTTACGTGAATAAATGGGGTAATATTTAATATAATTTTTGCATTAAGAATTTTTTTTATTTAGATTCGGATTATTTTTTTTGGATATCGAATTTTTTTCTAATTCGAATATGGTAATACTAATCACAGATCTTATAAAATCTCGAGTCAAATTCGGATCTAATATATTATTATCGGATTTAGATCTGGATCTGTCATAATTCGATCTGAATCCAATCCATTGACATCCTACTTTTAACCATACCACTCAAATCCTTCGTGCTTTGTTGTGTTACTAGGAAATGGAATATGAGAGAGCATCAATTAAGCTTGGTCTTCCATTTATCAAGAAAAGCAGAGCTTTATCTCTGTCTGCTACGTTTAATCTGCTTTGGAAAACCGTCTTTCCATTTGTTGTTAATTTTTAGTGGATACAGATGCTTCTGGCTGCACTTTGAAAATTTTATATATTTACATGTTGCTAAAGGTGTGTCTTGGTAAATTGGGAAGGACTGGTCCACTAATACGCGGGCATTATGCAGTTCGAGTCACAAATATGGTCTCTGTCAATGACTCAACTTCATGGAAAGGGGGGAGCCAAAGATAATTTTTTTGGCTTAGTAATATATATATAATGACCCTTCCATTTTTTAATTTTATACTTATTGGAGGACTTATATAAATAAATTAGAAATTAATAGATAAAAATTAAAATAAATTTCCAATGATCAAAATATAAATATAAAACTTATATTATAAAAAAAATATAATTTTAAAAAACAATAAATATGCATTTGCATTTTCATGATACAAAATCCATCATTACTTGTTTACTAAACATGTTCACTCTTGTCAAATTTACTCTTTCACTTAGGTTCTTCTATTTAGATCTTTCTCATAATTTAGATATTATTTTTCTCGTTGCTATAATAATTAGATATGTGCATTTGAAAGTGATACAAAATATAATTAAAAATATCTAATTATTTTTATAAATATTAAACAAATTTATATTTTAGTTCCCTAAAAAATTCTAGTTAAGTTTTGTTAATAATTTCTATACTTTAGGGGAAAGGTTGTGGTTATCTAAATCTTTCGGCCCAATATTTATTGAATGCTTGTGCACTAGGGTCTTACATCCAAGGCCATTGTTCATGGGATTGGACAACCACCTTGGGGCAACTTATGTTTGTTGTTCTAAAAGGAAATCCAATAGTGAATAAATTGGGTTTTTATCGCGGAAGTTAAAAGTGTAAAAAAAATTAAAAGTAATAATAAAAATATTGAATTAAATAAATTTATACAATTCACCCAACAATAAATATAAAACAATTTTAATAAAGTAAAAAGAGTAGTAATAGGAGATGCAAACTTTTTTATAGTGGTTCGAATTACTACTCAAATTTATGTCCACTCTCTTGAACTCCAACCGGCCAAAATTCTACTGAATCCCTTGCACTTTACTAAAGTAAGAAATTCTGAGTACAAACAAAGTCCCTTACACTTGGCTGAAGCAAGAAATCCCGATTACAAATTCTTTAATTCGGTGAACTTTAAACACCAATACAAATGGTAATAGAGATTAAGTAGAAATGTAGCAATTCCTCTTAAGTAGGATTAGTTACTACTCATGTATAAAAATAATCTCACTTCAAATAGACACTCTCAAGAATAAAATAATTTGCTCTATGCACTCTTTGATCTAATAATAAACAATGTAGTACAAAGAATTTTAGAGAGAGATTGAGAAAACTTTGAGAGCTTATTCTTGTATACTACTCCTTTCAATCTATGCTCATTTTATAGGCAAAAACACCAAAGAGACGTTGACCTTTGTGGAAGACAAAATTATTTGTCAACAATAACTGAACATTGGCTCATTTCAAAATTTCAAATAAAATGACTTTAAACATTCAAAAAAAATCTTTAAAACTTCTTAAATACTCTGCAATGAGTCTATTTTTAAATGCAAATAGAATCATTGAATTATCATGCGCCGTTTTAGAGGAATGATAAAAAGTTCAATGATATATCAGACTGTAAAATTGCTTTTGACAAAAGTTGTTGACCAAGTTCAAAATTATTTAGAAATTTGAATTTATTGTTAAAAATAACAAATTACATATTTTTGAAAAGCTTATAACGTCTACTTTCATTCAAAATTAAATTTGTATAAATTTGACTTTTATAGTTTGAGATATGATAAAAATATTATGGTATACTTATTTTGTCTGCTGACAGTGTGACTCAATAGAATAGCTCAATTTGAAAAATTATATGTATCAATCTATAATTGTAAAGTATGCATATAATATATGCATTTAAAGCTCGGCACATCTACTTTATAGATAAAATCAATTCAGAAGTTTATTTATATCATAAATTATAGTTTACTATTCAAAACTAATATCATGTGGATTTCAATATTGACTTTTTCAGAAAATAATATATGAAATTGATATAAAAAAACTGCTTTGTTATAGAAAAGTATATGAAAAAAATTATACGTCAAAATAAAAGTATTTGAGTATAGTTTCATATAAAATTAACTTCACTATTTTTGAATTTTTATATAATAGAATATGATCAATTTATTACATATATGTCTAATTTGATAATTTCACTTTGTAGCACATGTAATGTATGTATCTCCAAATAATAAACTCAACAATATAATTTGTCCATATTATCCATTATATAATATATATATATAATAATTTTAATTTATTTTGTAATTATTAAAATAAATATGAAACATTTAGGCTAACAATCTCCTCCTTTTTGGTGATGACAAAACAAATATATAATGCAAGATATCTATTAAGCATATATCATGTAAATTCTCTGCCTTTTTGTCATCATTAAAAAGATAAACTATATAAGCTCTCACTCAATATCGGTATGAAAAATATTTAGAGACTCTTCCTCTTCAAAAATGAATTAATGCAAAAAATATTAATTATATACTTGAGTTTATAAGACTAAGTGGTCTTTTAATAAAACAAATTTGTAAAAATATCCGTTAATTGATATTCGGTATTCACAAATTCTAGTGTTATGTCACATTTTTGAACATGATCTCTCAACAAGTGATGTCTAATATCAATGTGTTTTGTTCTTGAGTGCTGAATGGGATTCTTAAAGATGTTGATGGTACTAGTATTATCACACTTAATAGGAATGTGTTCATAATTAAGTTCAAAGTCTAGTAAAGTGTGTTTCATCCATAAAATTTGTGCACAACAACTTCCAGTGACCACATATTCTGCTTTGACTATAGATAAGGCAACCGAATTTTGTTTGTTACTAGTCTAAGAAACTAAAAATTTTTCAAGAAGATGACAAGTTCCACTAGTATTTTTTCTATCCAATTTACATCCTCCAAAGTCCGCATCTGAATAACTAGTAAATTCAAATGAGGTTTCTCTAGGATAAAATAATCCTACATTTATAGTTCCTTTAAGATACTTAAGAATTTTTTTGACGACATGAAAATGAGATTTTTTTGAACTTACTTGAAATCTAGTATACAAAGAAACACTAAACATGATATCAGGACAGCTAATAGTTAAGTACAA